CATAAAACTTTTAGAAGAAAAGGCAGGGAAGAAGCTCACTGATACTGATCTTGGCAATGATTTTTTGGACACGATGCCAAAAGCACAAACAACAAAAGCAAAAATCAACAAATGGGACTACATCAAACTCAAAAGCTTCTGTACAGCAAAAGAAACAGTTAACAGAATGAAAAGACAATCTACAGAAAGGGAGAAAATTTTTGCAAACCATATATTGGATAAGGGGTTAATATCTGAAATATATAAAGAAGTCATATAACTTAACAAAAAAATAAACCTATTAAAAAATAGGCAGAAGAACTAAATCGATATTTTTCCAAAGAAGATATCAAAATGGCCAATAGGCACATGAAAAGATGCTCAACATCACTAATCATCATGGAAACACAAATCAAAACCACAGTGAGCTATCTACCACCTCAGACCTATTAGAGTGGCTATCATCAAAGACGAGACAACAAGTGCAGGTAAGGATGTGGTGAAAAGTGAACGCTTATACATTGTTGGTGGGAATGTAAATTGGTCCAACCACTATGGAAAACAATATGGAGGTTCCTCAAAAAATTAAAAATAGATGTATCATATGATTCAGCAATTCACTTCTAGGTGTATACCCAAAAGAAATGAAAGCAGGATTTTGATGAGATATATGCACTCCCATATTTATTGCAGCATTATTCACAATAGCCAAAATATGGAAACAACCCAAATGCCCATCAACAGATGAATGGATAAAAAAAGATGTGGTACATAGACACAATGGAATATTACTCAGCCACGAGAAAGGAGGATATCCTTCCATTTGCAACAACATGAATGGATCTGCACACATTATGCTAAGCAAGATAAGTCTGATAGAGAAAGATGAGTACTATATGATATCACTTATATGTGGAATCTAAAAAAAATCAAACCTGTAAAGAACAGAGAGTAAAACGGTGGTCACCAGAGGATGGGGAGAGGGAGGATAAGATTGAGTATTTAGGCGTACAAACTTGTAACAAGTAGTAAATAAGCCATAGAGATCTAATGTACAGTATAATAAACACAGAAAATATTGTTCTATAATTATGTAATGTGATAAGTATCACTACAGTGGCAATCATATTACAATATATAAATGTATCAAAGTAACACACTGTACACATTAAATTTATACAATGTTACTTGTCAAATTTATTAATTAAAAACATAAAGTCAATGAGTATGAGTTAAATATAAACTTCCTCCCAAAAGAATATTAAACTGTTTTTTCTCCAATTAGATAAGTTATAGATAATAATAATATTATTATTAAGCCATTCATATCAGGAATTTAGTTTCTTCTCCAAACCTTATTATGCTAAGAAAGCCACCGTGTAGCACAGTAATTAAAATCATGGACTCAGGAACCTGACTGCCTTGGTTTGAATCCTGGCTCTGCCTCCTACTAGCCATGTGACCTTGAGCCTCAGTTTCCTCATCTAAGAATGAGTATAAGTTTCTACCTTTCAGGGTTATTGTGAGGATTAAAGAATTTCATATATTTAAAATACTTAGATCAAAGCCTAGTATATATAAACACTTATATAATTGTTAGCTATATTTACCAAATTCTGCACTAACTCTGGTAGTCTTGCCCAAGGATATTTATGAACAACACTGGTTCTTCACCAAGACAAATTTGACAGTCAAATTACCTGCTAATGAGAGTTACTTCATGAGTACAATATAAAAAAGGGAAAATGTTTTTCTATTTATGATTATGCATCCTTCATACTGAATTCCCTCCCTGACGCTAAATTAGGAGATAATGTCGTTTAGGACATAAAGAATCACTTGAATTCATTAACATGCTACTGTAGACGAGCAGTCACCAGTGTGGTCCATGGAGGTCCCTGAGATCTTTCAGGGATCTGCAAGGTCAGAACTATTTTCATAATTATTATATTAAGATGTTATTTGCCTTTTCCATTGTGTTGACATTTGCACTGACGGCGCAAAAGCAGTGGTGAGTAAAAGTACGGCTGCGTCACCACCAATCAAAGCAGTGGCACCCATGGCACAAGTAGTGACTGTTCTTCACCACCACAGAATCACAGTGACAACAAATATCTTCACTTAATGTCCTTGACAGAGTAGTAAAAATTATAAATTAAATCTCAGTCTGTGAGCCCGTCTTTTTAATATTCTGTGTGAGAAAATGGAAAGTATGCATAAAGCACTTCTGCCCTAAGATGATTGTTTTTAGGAAAAGCACTTGTACAACTGTTTGAGCTGTAGCTACTCTTTCATGCAACCTGACAACTCAGACAAACCATGGTTCTTCAGACGTGGAGATTCAGCAGACATTGTCTCAAAAGTGAATGAAGTGAGCTGTCACTTCAAGGAAAACAAGTGACAATATTTGTTATCAGTGATCAAATCTGAGCTTTTAAGCAAAAATTAAAGCTTTGGAAAACTTGTATTCCCTACCATGAGCTTGGCTTGACAAGTTTCCAATACTTAAAGATTTTTCTGATGAGATCAGATTTTTTTTTGGTATTGTATAACGAAACCTTAACATCTGGAAGATCAGCATAACTTGGTAAACCAATATTTTCCAAATGACCAGTGCATGACATTACAAAACCATGCATGGGTAAGAGATCCATTCAAAGTGCAAGTTAAACCAACGGATGTTAATATATAACACAATATGAAAAGTTCACTGATATGGTTTTAGATTCCATATCGCAACTAACTTTTACGAAACTACAACTTGTTGAGTTTGGGTGTAGTGCCAAAGAAGAATCTTCACAATTATTTTAAGCTATTAAAATCCTCCTCTTTTTTGCCACTACCTATCTCTGTGAGGCTGGATTTTCTCCATATATTTCAACAAAACAATATATCACAACAGACTGAATGCAGAAGCAGATACGAGACTCCAGCTATCTTCTATTAAGCCAGACATTAAAAAGAATCATGAGGGGCCGGCCCCGTGGCTTAGCGGTTCAGTGCGCGCACTCTGCCACTGGCGGCCTGGGTTCAGATCCCGGGCGCGAACCGACGCACCGCTTCTCTGGCCATGCTGAGGTGGCGTCCCACATACAGCAACTAGAAGGATGTGCAACTATGACATACAACTATCTACTGGGGCTTTGGGGAGAAAAAGGGGGGGGAAAAAAAAGGAGGACGATTGGCAATAGATATTAACTCAGGGCCGGTCTTCCTCAGCAAAAAGAGGAGGATTGGCATGGATGTTAGCTCAGGGCTGATCTTCCTCACAAAAAATAAATAAATAAATAAATAAAAGAGTCATGAAGTTTTAAAACAATGGTACTCTTCTCACTAATTTATTTTGTTTTGAAAAGCACAGTTCTTTTTCACAATTTTTTATGGTAACAAGTGATGAGTTTATTATTTTTAATGAATTAATAAATGACTATTTAAAAAAATTTCACACACACACAAACACCCCTCCAAACAAAAGCTTTTTGGGATGCTTTATAATTTATTGGTGTAAAGTGTCCTGAGACCAAAGTCTGAGAACTACTCCAAATAATACCCCAAACAGTAGATGTATTCCACCACAATAGCCAAGTAGCTCTATATACACACAGAGTGTGTTAAGGATGACGTGTTTCCCTGGATAATGAGATCTGAGAGTACAGATCAGACTATCAATATTATTCTGTGTTCATTTAATAAAACAGTACTTTGAACAATAAAACATTAGCTTTTACTCCTTAGGATTCAGATAAATACGCTCCTTCAGAGTGGCTTGGTTTGAGGGGGTACAGTTGCTAAGCCTCTGCGACACTAGAGATGAAAACCAGGAGGTGATGAAAAAGCACACCAAGGGCCTAGTGAAGCCTCGGCGAGCACTGAGATCTTCCCTTAAGAGACCCGTCACTTATTCCTGAGTCAAATAAGGTTCCCAGAAAACTTCAGCTGTCTGTCTTCAGAGAAGGAAGGAAAACAAGGCACTGGACTCAGCCTAGATCTGCTGCCTACCTTTCACATGTTCCTTTCCCAAGGATGAGGAAGTGTTTAGGGTCTGACTTTACAGAAGCCTCCAGGTGTTCCCAAGGCAAGTAAAGGTCAGATAAAGTGCAGAACCACTGTTCTGCAGCTAAAAATAATGAAAAGAGAGGAAACTGATCCCGAGAACTAGAAAACTGTGCCCACTGCTGTTCTCTTTTCAAGGGCCCATCACTGAGGGTGTGCTTCTCCACCACCCACCCCACTCCTGTCTCACTTTAATTTTTTCTATTCCTGGCTCATTAGTGACTCCCAGAGATGAATAAGAAAAAATAAGATAAAACACAACAGGTTGGTTATTATATCTATGCTTTCCTCACCACCCACACTTAGCTCACATTGGCCAAAAACCATTCATTATACTTTTCTATGGGTTTCATTGATCCGTGATTCAAAATTCCACCACTAGTTAGTGTGGCTGGAGTAATTTATGCAGCAAGGCTCCCAGGAGCTCCCTCACTCTACCAGGTTTTGCATTTTCTGTCCTGCCCTCATGAAGATATTTATATAAAGTTGGCTAAGCGGAAATATGACCAAACTGGGGGAGTGGCTCTAGCATTCTTCACAATAATGTTTTTATTTCTCTATCACCCCATTCCCTAATCACCATCCAGCATAACACAGGGGTGAAGACCTGAATTACTATTCTCTATTTTTCCTTTGCTAAAAGGAAAGCTTATATATTTGGTTCACAGCAATTCAAGGCTCAAATACTAGTGAGGATGTTGCTGCACTGGGAAAACACATAATCACGAGCTCTAGGCCTGAGAAGCAATTTCACTTCTTTTATGAAATAAAGGTAAACTGACAAACATACCTCCCTCAAAAGAGAATCAAGAGAAAAGAAAGTCTCAATTAAATAGACAAGGGAACTTTTTATACCACAATAGGATGGAAGAGGCTCTCTACTGAAAATCTAAGAAAAAATTCTACTGTATATGTTTTGTGATTAGAATTAGGAGACATTTTTTACAAACAGAAACTGGTTTACTTACAAGGTCCTTTGTAGTATTTCTAACTCGGAAGAAGTAAACTACTAAGGTGGTAGGTAAGAGTTCCCACACAAAAAGGACCACTCCAAATACTACATATCCGGCATCTCCCAGCTGATTCTTCAGATCTGCCTGTTGAAAAGAGAGGGAGAAAATGGAGAGTCACTAGACTGAGGGCACAGGGAATAACTTTGATTTGAGTCTTTCTAATGTGAACAGAAATTAATTCTAATATGGTATAATTCCTTTCCCCTAAAATGTGCATGTTGAAATCAGATAATACTAATCGTCCAGACCTCAGATGGGGGGTTATTTAAACCATACAGGATAGATAATTATCTTCTTCAAAATATTCAAAGACAGAAACTGCCAATCTCTGATGTTTTATTACTTCACTCTCCAAAATCTTCCTTATCTCCAAATTAAGTCTCGCAAATTGAAGCTGATTTTTTTTTCAACAATTGAATAATGAGAATGTTATGTTGCCTCCTCCCAAATCCTTGAGGGCAGCATACAACTGTTACCCTTGGTCTCACTCCTAGGATAAACATGTCAATTTTTAAACTTCTCTTCACATTAACTATATCCTATTCTTTAACCTTCAAAGCTTATTACAGGCTATATTGTCTAGAAAAAAATTCTCAGAGTCCAGGATGAGATGGCTAAATAGACTTGCTGTCGTAGTGTTCTCCCTCATGCTGCAGGGCAGATGGAAGGCGTGTGAGGAACAGGCACATTCGGTTTGGGCAACTCTATCAGTAAGGCCATCATTTCAAAGAAAGACAATGCACCAAAATCAAGCCCTTTTAAAGGGCCAATCACCTACACTTAATCCTTTTTCCTTCTCTATTACATCATATTTAAAGTACAGTAATCAAAACTAATCATGCTACTCTTGAGAAAGATTACTCTCAAACTTTGCATCTCATATCCCATCTATAACGTCTCAATAACATGCTGTTCTTTTTCCATTCTACACAAATAATGCGCACCACGCGTAGCCATTTGTCTTGCTTGCTCCTAGATTATTTTGGTTGCAACACATAGGTCTAGATATCCATAGATAAATACCCTCTAAAAACAACAAAATTTTAAAAACTGTGATCATATTTTAAATTTGTTATATTACAAGCTCTTAATTGAAGGAAAAATTTAAATAATAATTTTTTAAAAGCCCAGTCTCTGTTGTTTAATGGGTACAGAGTTTCAGTTTGAGAAGATGAAAAAGTTCTGGAGATGGACAGTGGCGATGGTTGCACAACAACATGAATGTACTCACTGCCACTGAACCGTACACTTACAAATGGTTAAAATAGTAAATCTTATGTATATTTTACTATAATAAAAAATCCTTTGCATATTATGAATAAGTCTTTAATTTATCATTGTTTAAAGTTTAGATTTTTATATAATTGATTTTCTCAAAACAGGGCATGCCTTTAGCAATGCCTTGCCCAACTTCCTCCCATTCTATATTTATGGTATTGGTTTGGGTTAGGGGTGGTTATTGTTGTTTTAATCTTTCCTAATGATAACACCGTGCATGTCCCTCTTCTGAATTTCATCTTGTCCTCACAGGTTTAACTTAACATGGTCGTTTTAGTCTTTCTTCCAGAGTCTTAATTCAGTCCAGGTTTTGAGCACTGTTGGGATTTAAGAAGAGGATTTGTATATAGTTAGGTATTCAATATTTTTCCAGCAAAAGCTAAGGTGCTTTTGCAATTCAATCCAGTAGAGTCCTATTACAGAAGTTCTATTTCTCTATTGTAATGGCTTATCTGTGTGTCTCTTTTCCTCAGTGGATATAAACTCCTAGAGCAAGAAGTGAGTCTGTTCATGTTTGTATCCCCAGCCCTTTGTCCAGGGCCACAGACAAAGAATCGATATTTCTCAAATGAGAGACTGCTAACTCATTCTCATTCTTTTTTATTTTGAGCTTTTGTGAACATGGATGCCAAATGATATTTCACTACCTTGGTTCATTTGCTTTATAATTTATGAATTTCTAGAATATGTTAAAAAAAAAAGAGAGTATCATACTGAAACCACTGATAAAATAAGCTTTTACTAACACCTGAATATCCTCAGTCACTGTTGTCTAGATTTCCCCAAATGCTGTTAGTATACATGCTCCATTAAAAAAATTAACTTCATAGTTTTTGTATTTTCTGAAACCTGAATACTATTTGTTTTACCTTTGCAAATTTCACCCTTTAAAAAGACCATCTTATATTTACGTGGAAGTGCTTTAAAACAATTAGGGGCCGACCCGGTGGCGCAAGCAGTTAAGCGCGCATGCTCCACTGCGGTGGCCCGGGGTTCACCAGTTCAGATCCCGGGCGCGCACCGACGCACTGCTTGGCAAGCCATGCTGTGGCGGCATCCCATATAAAGTGGAGGAAGATGGGCACGGATGTTAGCCCAGGGCCAGTCTTCCTCAGCAAAAAAAGAGGAGGATTGGCAGATGTTAGCACAGGGCTGATCTTCCTCACAAAAAAAAAAAAAAAAAAATTAAGGACTGCTTGACAAGACCCTCAGAAAGTAGAAAGGAAAGTGTGAGAGTGTGAGAGAGAGTGTGTGTGTGTGTGTGTATACATATATATATCTCTCTCTCCCAGTTTTCTCAGAAGACGAGAGCTAAAGGCAGGTCTCTATTTGGCAGCAGAAGCAAGGGGCTTATCCCCCTTTGCCACATGGGATGCTGCAAAGCAAAAAGTCGCCATTCAGGTGACGCCTCACGGGCCCCCACTGACCTGGTCTGACACATTATACCAGTCGTAATCAAAGGAGTGGACATTGCTGCTCTGAGAAAAGGATAAGATGAACAGGTTGTAGCAGGCTCGGGAGGCGTAAAGCAGGATGACGGTCACACCGATGGCAGTCACTTGACACACGGAGGAGCCCTGGAAAAGCGAGAGCCATGAGGGGTGCACCCATTCCAGGTCCAGGACACCAGACTCCTCCCGGAACACAGCCTGTGTTTGCACCTTGTACACCCTTCGGATCTCAGGCACTGCAGTCTCCTCCAACCGTCTGTCAGACCCTCTACCCTCAGACCTTAATCCCCACTCCAAACCTCAACTGATTCCACACCCCTTTCCTACAATTACAAATTATCTTCAGATAGGTGCTTCAAAACCTGCAACTTGATTTGGAGATGCCTTTAACAGGGTTAAAACATGGGCCATTTGCCTAAGACCTAGGTTTCTAAGAACAAGCAAGTCAGACGGCTCGTTTTGTTAAATCTCTGAGTGCCTCTGCTCAGCTCCAACAGGACCCTCTTGACTTATGAGCCCAGTGCCCGGCCTCTGGCTTGGGGACAACCTCACAGGGATGGCGGCCGGGAGAGAGCTGTGCTGCTGACAGTGGCTCTGGGCTGTGAGCGCTTCCTCAAACCCAGAATCTTCTAGGCTGGGAGTACTGGAGTCCCGATGTGATTCAGGGCTTGGAATTATGTGGAAATTGGTGATTTGTGCCCCAATTTATGAAGCCATCAATTTCTAAAATCAGTTAAAGGACCTCTAGCTAGAAACAGATAGTTAACATAACCAAAACACTGAAGTTAATTTTTGAGTTTTGCATTTGGAAGTCATTAACTAAATCCAAGATATTTTTTTATTTTGCCAGTAATAGATTGTTAGCTTCTCTGCCACTAGGGTGACCTAAATGGTATTCTGACAATCTAAAATTTAACCTCTCCTGTTAAAACCACAATTCTGTTTTTAAAAGCCTTGGATAGCCCCTATATGGGGGACAATATAAATAACAGAGAAAGTTAAGACAAAATCAAGTTCAAAATTCATCAAAAGGTATAAATGAACAAACTACTCTGCCACACTAATTTGCAGGATTTTGCAAGAGTTCAGCCAAATCACAGAATGCCCTGATTAAAGGCTTTGTGTTTCTGATATTAGAGGCACAGATTTTGATCTACTGATCACTGCTGAAGACACAATACTGTGGGAGACAGAGCTGCCTCACAATCTTCAGACCAAAGGTATATTATAGCCAGATGGGCCATGTGGCAATGAAGGCAGACATGGGGGAAGCCACAGGACACACAGTCACTGAACAGAAGCAGAGGACCTACACAAATCACTCAGCCAATGTACAAGTGAGAAACCAAGGCCCCGAGAGGTGAAGTGACTGGTGGGGCTGGGGTCCCACAGCCAGTGAGAGGCCCGGGCATCCGCTCCCTGGCCTCCACACTTCACTAGGCTTCTCAATGACGGCAGAGTTGGGGGTCAGGCTGATCGGGGGCACTTCGGCCACAGCTCCAGGCATCATATCTGCCCTTCTTTATAACCCTGGGGAACGGAGAGGACAAAAGCGAGATTCTAGGGTGTGAGGCATAGCTGCGAAATAAGAGAACAGGCCAGGAGCTGCCCTCTCACATCATGTCCGGCTCTATTTCTGAACAATCAGCACGAGAGGAGTGTTGTCCTGAACTCCAGGAGCGGCTTCCACTGTGAAGGAGAACCATCTCGGGGACACAGCCAATTCAGGGGTCTGAACCTGAGTCTCCACAGCAGTATGACGAGGTGGTGAAGAGGACAGACCCCGGAGCCAGACTGCTGAGTCCGAATCTTGGTTCTGCCTCTACTAGCTGCATAACTTGGGGCAAGCGACTGCCCTCTGTGTGCCTCAGTTTCCTTATCTATAAAGGGGGGATAATACCTACTCCCCAGAGTCGTGAGGATTACCTTAGTTTATACACATAGAGTGTTTGTAAAAGTGCCAGGAACACTAGATGTGTGCTGTATTAATATTATTAGCACAATCAATCCCAGTAGTCCTTTAAAATTTTGGTTAAACTATTGTCCGTATAAACCAGAGACCTAACTCTCTTACAGTAATTCTGCACAGTCCAACACACCCTGAGCCACCCGGAACGGAACTCTCCTTGCATACAAAGTTCAGTGAACTACATACCTCTGTGTTTTGGCATCCACGCTATGGCTAATCATTTGTAGGAGGTCAGGTGTGAAAGGTCTTTGTTGAGCTCTGTTTGCAAACCAGGGAACTATTTTTACAACAAGTTTAATGGAAGGATCTCGACCACATTTCTACCTTACCTTAGACTCCAAGTAAATGTTGGCTAAGGACATCTTAGAAATTTTGTAGAGACAGATGGAGAGAGAGATGGCACACAGCACGAAGAGTGTGTCATTAATGGCTACACGCACGGAGACGATCACCTTCCTCTCCCAATGTCCTGTCTTCACCAACACGGCGCAGGTTAAATTCACCAACAGGAAAACAAGGCTGATGAAGAGTGAGGCCAGGTAGAGGGGTAACCTGGAAAAGACCCAGAGAGAAATTTAAGGCACCATTCCCTGCATGCTGGCAGTATATTTTGGATCATTCCAGAAGGAAACCATGATATTTTTTGGTTAACTGCTAGAAGCAGAACACGCCCCAAAGTTAACAAACATTTAAGAGCTTGGACTTTAGAGGCAGCCATTCCCAGATTCAAACTACAAATCAACTACCAACTGTGCCTCCAGGGAGGTACTTTACCTCTCTGCGCCTCACTTTCCCTGGCTCTGGGAGGGGGTGAGGATTGGCTAAGACATGCACACATCGGCTGAAGTGCCCCCTGAACGCCCACTGCTCACAGGACATGAGGAGAGAAAGAGCAGGGCTCGGAGTCAGAGCTGGTTTCCATGAGCACTGACAGTTCTGCACTCCGTGAACTTGGGCAAAACCAACCCGTGTGAGCCTGAGCGTCATCATCTGAAAATAGACCCAATAACACCTACCTTGCAGGCTGTTTGTGAGGATTAAATGAGATAATGTTTATAAAGAGTTTTACTCCAAAAAGGTCACTGAGTCTGAGTAGCACTCACTTTTACTTGGGAACACTCACTCTTGGATGCTGTGGTCTGTCTGCTCTGGTTAAAAATCTGCCACACCACCTTGCCCAAGGCTGGACAGACACAAAGCTGTCCACGTCATTGGCCATTTATAACTCGCAGTTTCTCAGAACCACACACTTCCCAAGTGACCTGTGTGAGATCTATACAAAGACTTCTCAGATTTACTAAAAGCAAAATCAGCAGCCTCAAGTTTCTCTTTAGGACTGTCCGTATCATGTGTACGTCAGGTAGACGCTGTTCAATAGGCATGCAAATAAGGAACAGACTTGTTTGGCTCAAAAATAACTAGTATCAAGACTGGTTTAAGCTGAATATGTGTGCAAGTCCAAAAGCAGAAATCCATCAGTTAGAAGTGGTTTTGAAGCTACAGAGTGATGTTGGTGTCTTCAAAAGCCATCACAGACCAGGACACAGAAACCTGGATTCTAGTCCCAGCTCCAGACATCACACCACTGACAGGAGCCCATGTGATGAGGGAGGGAGGGAGGAGAAAAGGGAGGGAGAGAGAGGGAGGGAGGGACCAGGCTGGGGAGAGGGAGGGAGGGAGGGAGAGAAGTGCAGAGGTGGAGGTGCAGTTTTATTTCCTGCCCTCGATGTCGGGGTGATATAATAAACCCCCCTTACCCAAGCTAATTTGAATGGGATTTTATGTCTTGCAATTAATAATTTACTATCCACTGGCAAAGTCTCTCACACAATTTTCAGAACTCACATTCTACCAAAGAAACTTTGCCTACCTCACTCCTTCTCACCCTTCAGATCTTAGCTCAAATATCACTTCTTCAAAGAAGCCTTTCCTGACTCCCTCCTGCACCCCCCTTACAACACACACACGTGCGCGCGCGCTATCAGGTCTCTGATATCTGCTTTCCTGTCCCCTGGACTTTAGCCTTCAGACTTACCACCAGTTTACAATAAAGCATATGGACAACGGTCTGACCGATGCCTGCCTCTACATAGGCAGTAAACTCTGTGAAGATAGAGATTCTCGCTCTTTCCTTCATCCCCCTCTATCAACACTGTATACAGTAGGAGCTCAATAAATATGTTTAAGAGGAGGGAGGGAAGAAGAAAAGAGTCAGTCCAGGTGAAGATGTGCATTGTGAATCCAAAAGTGTTACATTAGATCTCCAGGCAAGGGCTGCCCTTTTCTTTCCTATCAACACTCCATCGCAGCAGTTACTAGATCTTTCCCTTTCTTGGGGAAACAACCAAAAATTGAGGAACTGCATCTTTCAAGGTAGAGAGAAAGGACTGGGGGCCGGCCACTCCTCAGGAGTAGGTTTACAGTAGATTGCAGGAAGAGAAGAAACAGTCCTGCATCGAATGAATACTGTCCACGTTGCAAGATGCTCCTGATCTTAGCAATGTGCAAGTGCGAAGCAGAGCGTCCTCTCAGGCTGGTGCTGAGATAAGGAGACGGAGAAGGCACGGCCGCGGCCTGGGCAGCAGCATGGTGGGATACTGGACGGACGGACGAAGTGCATGGAAGGGACAGAGGAGACAGTATAATATGTACCCAGTTGGAAAGGCAGGAAAGAACATGCTCAGCCTGGGCTGGTGAGTGTCTGCTAGGCCTGACTGAGCACAAGCCCACAGGGGAGGGAGACGGGGTGGGAGAGAACCCAGAGGCGGGCAGGCAGGAGACACTGGGGAACACACAAGGCTGATAAGCAAAGGAATGACAGATGTGGCCCTGTTTGTGTCTGAGAAAGACGATTTGGGGCACAGTGTGGAGTCTGGACGGATGAAGAGATTGCAGTTAGGAGAGACGATGGCCCCAGGGAGCTGAGGAGGGCAGCACACCAGAGGCAGGATGATAGGGACCCAGCGGGACCAGGACACAGGGTGGAGCCATGAAGGGAGATAAGAGATATGCAAGAGGGGCACCGGGCGGCCACCACCCACTGGCCCGGGGCAGGGCTTGTATGAACGGGGCCCCCTAGCGTCGTGCCACGTGAGGGTGGTGGCAGGCAGGGCTTTAAAGACTTGGAGATTCCATCTCGTGTAGTTATGCACTCAAAACTTTTCAAGAAGAAACAAATTTTTTTGTTAAAATAAACACGAATTAGTTGCCAAGGACAGTATTTTTTATAGGACGCGATCACTAGTCAAGGCCCTTCCAACCACCCCACTCTCTCATGGACTGTGATGGTCCTGCTGCTCCCTCTGCAGGGAGTGCTCGCCCCCAGCTCCTCCTGGCCAGCTGCTTCTCAGCCAAGTCTCTACCTCAACAGGGAGCCCAGAGGCCCTCCCTACTGCCCACTGTCCTTCCCTCTCACAACATGCTGGGGGTTACCTCCACAGCACACGGGACAGCTGTGCAGTTCCGGCGCTGGCACCCCCCCGAGCAGACAGAGCTCAGGAAGGGCAGCCCCCATGTATCCCCAGCACCCAAAAGCCATGCTGGGCTCATGCTAACCGCTCAGTACCCCTGCCCTATGCTTCAAGTCTAGGACACTCTGCGTCACACTTGCACATTGCTAAGATCAGGAGCACCTTGCAACGTGGACAGTGTTCATTCAATGCAGGACTGTTTCTTCTCTTCCTGCAGTCTACGGTAAACCCTGTGGTGTGCCTTCATCAGGAAATTATGCAATTTGCATGTGACCTTGCGCCAAGGACCTAACCAGGCCAAGCCTGAGCTTCCTCCTCTATACCACGTGAGGCGGGAGTTCTGTGCCGGTCTCGAAGGGCTGCTGAGAGGGCCAGGGGAAACAACGCATGGGGGGCAGTCAGCACAGCGCCTGGCTCACGGTAAATTATTATGATCTTTATTTGTTCCCCTCCACGTTTTCACAGTGATGGGGGAAATCGAGCATGGAGAGAGAGACAAAGGCAGGATCATTTGGGAGTCACCAAATATCTGCATTCTGGTACCCTGAAAGCCCTATTTTTTATTGTTTTATCACTGTGTGCTGTGTTTTTGTGAAAAACACACAAGGTTGGAAACATCCAGTTCCCGGAATTGGCCCTATTGTTTCTGGACCTTTGCTGGTGTGTGCACACACTTTCTACCCATGTGACAGCAACAAGCCTCCGGAAAAAGCACAATCTGGACATTTAGCTTTTCCAGATGACTCCTCATAGGTGTCGTTTTCAATACTTTTGTGGATACAAATTCTCATTCCTCTTTCTTTATTATAAAAGTAATACATGACCGCTAGAGGACGTTGGGAAAGTACCAAAGGGTAAAGGCAAGGAAGCCAGGCATAACTCACCACCCAGACGGTGCGGTGCCCACGACTGCACGTGTGGCGTGGCTCCCTGCCGCCCTTTCCATCTTGGACTATCACACAACGGCGACCAAGCCGCCACTCCACCCTCCTTCCTTCCCCTTGTCCTGCCGTCATCTGCCCTGCGTGACAGAGAAGTCGGCGTGGGAGACAGAGTCGCGATATCAGGAGAGGCTCTTGGCCACTCTGGGAGCCGTGTCCTCCTCTGTGAAGCGGAGGTGACACCTCCCCTCCTGTCTCAAGGAGCTGCTGAGAGACTTCACGGGGTCCTGCGCCTGGTGCCTCACTCTCTCCTCTGACGTCACCCCACAGAGCCTCACAGGAGCCTCTCCTTCCATCAACAGCAACTTCCAGAAAAAGGCTTCACTTCCTCTCATCATTACTTCCTCCACAGATACTCCTCCTTGTAAATGGGCTCTGCCGGTCCCCGAGCCCCCATAACCTACTCACTAAACTCCCAGCCACCAACCTTCCCCACCTTCCCGGAGCTGCCCTCCCTTCGCTCCACAGCCCTCCTCCCGGCCCTCATTCTCCCCCCACCTCAGCCTGCCCCTGGAGAGCCCCTGGTTCCTCTTCCTCGTCGTCTTTCCCCCGTGGCTCTCCCCTCCACACCCTCTTCCAGGGGAAATACGTTCCCTTCTACGGCTTCAGTTACAGCTTTTGTACGACCATGTTCAAAAAGCTCGTCTCGGGCGGCTGCCTCTGTCCTAAGTCCAGACTCCTGCTCCAGACAGCCTGCCTTTGACGCCTTGTCACTCAGGCCATGTCCAAAACTCAATTCCTAACGCTCCTCCTCCAGCATGTCTCTGAGTTTTCCTAATAACCACAATTCCACCATAATTTTTCACAGATTCCTAAACTGTAAAGATCTTCTTTGATTCCACCCCCGACACCACCCCCATTTAATCAGTTGTGAGGTTCAACAGATTCTTTATTCCCACTCTCCTACCTGTGCCCCTTTCCCATCCTCACCACCACACACCTTCTAGCTAGAACTAATGTCACAGTTTCCTAATCCACCTCTGCCCTAAACCCCACCCTTGCACCCTCCAATCCCCTGCACTGTAGGGCCAGACCCATTTATGGGCACCCATGTGCTCATTAAACCAATCTACCCACAGTCCCCAAACCCGTACAGATGTCCCCACCTCCCTGTCTTCACACAAGCTGATTTTTCTGCCTAAAACCACCTTGCCCCTGATTTCTATCAAATCCTACTCTCTCAGCCTACAGGACCACCTGCTAAACAAAAGCCTGTTATGTCAGCAAAGCCCGGCTTGTTATATTTTTTATTTATTAAAAAAAATTAAAAATGGAAGGAAAACAGTTGAAAATGTTTAAAATCAAAGTTACTTTTGAGCACTCGCACACCCCGTGTTCCCATTTCCCAAGCCAAAGATTAAAAAATATAGACTGAGAAAGAGAAAAACCGAGTCAAATGGGCACCAACTCCAGCAACACTCAGAGCTGGTAGATGTGTTAGTGAAAGGGGGACGGTAAGCAGAAAGTAAAGGGGTTCTTGCCTGGGTTGAACATAAGTTATCTTCAAGAACACAGACTTGCTATCGGAGTAGCTTGGGGTGGGAAGTTTCAACTAGCTCTAGACTAATGGCTTGTGATGCATTTCAAATGCGTTGTGATTAAATGAGGGAAGCCAGGCTATCCTGAAGCCAAAATATCAAAGCATTTCAAGGGATAAATCGTGGCCTGAAATATCTACAGTGGCCTCTGGCTGAAGAGAAATGGGGAATTAAATAGAGGAGACTAAAGATGTGCCTAACTATGAACAACTCCCAGGATTTCTTTACACTTGGCAACTAAGTTACTAGATCTGAGTTAACAGACTTCTCCCATTGAAACTTCACCCTCCTGGCTTCAAGAAATTCTTAGTTTCTCTGGCCCACACATCCCACTTCTAATATCTGGACCCAGTGTATTTCTCCCCTACTTCCCCCTTCACCTCCGCAGATCCCCTCCCAGTCAAAGCAGTCACACACACCAGCACAGCCTCTCGGGCTGTCTGTGCTTTGGTGCACAGGTCAAGTACTGTCCCCATGCTCACATCCTCTCATGCATCTTCCCACCTGAAAGACCCCATCCCCCAAGTGCTCAGAGGTTGAAAACAGTCTTCCTTTCCCACCAGTGCTTTCATATTTCCCTTCTAGAAAACACCTCATTACCCCAGCCTCAACGAACCATTTCCAAGGTAAGATTGGCTCCATTATCCAACCAGGACATTCTCCCCTCCCCCCAATCTTTACTCATTCTCTGCTCCCCAGTCCCCCCAGCTGATCTACATTTCCGGGCGAGGGGACGGAGGGCCAGAATTATGGATAAAGAGGAAAGGCCAGCTTTTTTCCTATGAGAGAAGGGAGGGAATCGTCTACTTGGACTTGCTACTGTCGCCTGTCCTCCTTAGCACCAACATCATCCATGGTGCACTCTGAAGTCCCAGCTGAACAGTCTGGTAGAAACATGACCCAAACCACCCAAAAAGTAGTGAAGGGAGACTGCAGATCAGGTGAAAAATAAAGCATGGCACCACGAGTCTCACTACTCGTCTCCTGGCCAGAGTACTGTCACCTAACTTCCTGAACTTCAGTTTCCTTGGATATAAGATGGGGATTAAAATATACAATTTAAGATGATATATATTTCAATAAAATATAATATGTACACATTTTTACGTATTTTTAAAATAACAAAATTTTCATTTTGACTCAAGAAGATAACTGGTCAAAGTCGCCTTTCCAGAAATGCTTGCCCGTGGCAGCGGAGCTCTCCCGGGCAGGGACATCAGGCCTGCCCCAACTCACACCTTCTGGACGCCCTGTCTCCCTTGCCCCTCCGGCCAGTCTGACCAGGCTGTTGTGGGGGAGTCACACTCTTTGAAAATTTAGGGAAAACTATGGATCCTCTGCACAGGAAAAACATGCATACGCATGTCTTCACATAAATTTGGCACGAGATTTAAGGTGTTCCCTTCCAGATCACAAGCCTCTCCTGTTCACCCATACACAGGCTGCTTCTACAAAATTGCGGTGACTCCCACAGTCCACAGCGGTCCGCGGCAGAGACTGCCCACGCTCTCAACAGGTCACGTATGCTGCTTTGCCTGATCCTACGAGTTTCTGTGTTGTTTAGGACATCTTTACAGAGTGTGTACTTCTCAAGGACACAGACCACACTTCGCCTCAGGAGCTTAACTGAGTACTAAACAGTCAAAGATACATTCGCCGGATGTGGATGGAGATCCAAATGAGCAGCTGTGTGGCGAGTTATGGTAACCGCACAACGGACTGTGGAGTTCCGGAAAACAGAGCCTACCAGCAGTCAGCAGCAGAGACGAAGTGGGTCAGGCCACCAGGTGGAGGGCAGGGCTGCGGGCACACGGCTCTACCATGGCTGCACCTGCACCCAGAGGGGACACCTGGCCAGGGGCTGGCATCTTCAGGGAACCCTTCTTCCTTCTGTGGGGCTCTCCGGAAGGTTCAGATGCAGCATGCATTGCTGCATTCCCCTCTACTTTCCGATGGCCGTGAAAGGCACCAGGCTCCTTTCTAAACAAGTTAAATATGCTGCAAGACCTAGTAGGCGGTGATGCAGTGAGCTGACTCTTACGGGCAACGGATACGATGCCTGCAGTCCAACCCTCAGCAAGCAGGACTGTTTCCGGCAGCTCACAACGGCGAGATGTGTGCAAACCCCAGCAGTAGAAACAGGGTCAATGTGAGTCTTTCACCCGCCATCACAGAGAGAAATGCCCCGGGGTACTTACCGGTATTTGAGTAATTCTGGAGAATATTTTGACTTGGCTTTGAAAATCACCTGCAATGACAGAAAAACATGGCAAGTTGGGGACACAATAGGCTGACACCAACACACTGATCTCATCGCTTGGAATTCCCCTTTCCCTTCATGCCCAGGCTGGGCACAGTTTCTGAAATTGAGATGACTGCTTTCTGAGAAAGTTTGTTAAGGTACACATTTTTTTAAGCTGTGCATACAATTTTAAAAGTAAAGGTATTTAAAAATGGTAAAAAAAAAAAAAAAAAAGTAAAAGTATTACTGGTCTACCACTGCCAAGTACTTCTCTTATTTTCAGATTCACATTTGAGCCTATACTTCTAGAGAAAAACAGTCCACCCTTACACTTTATTAGAATTTTCAATGGCACCAAATTAACATTGTTTGCATACAAGTGTCCGTTTACCCAGGCCTCAAACTTTGCAGCACACTCAAAATGTCTCCGGATTATGGAAGTCTCAAACTCGATCGTTTTCTGTAGGAGAAAGGTTGCGTGTTGGAATTTCTCCAGAACCTCAGCAGCCTGTACAATTGCTAACGCGCCCGTGAGGGCGCAGCGGCCAGCCTGGTGGAGCCTTTGAGAAGGTGAAGAGGAGACAGAAGTAGGTATCAGCTCCAGCCCCAATGACGTGGCTGTGTTCCCAGTGTGTGCAAGGAGTTTCGGAGGCAGGCCCAGGTGGGTCGCCAGGGTGTCGGGGGGCGGGATGGGGGCTGACGGAGTAAGTGGAACAGCAGCACAGGCGCTCATCATCTGCCATCCTGGATCCCTGGTGTTGGGGGTGGGGGGAGCAGCACTGGGAGAAGGAAAGAAAGGGTATGGAAGAGTGGAGAAGAGAGGACCTTTTTTCAGAGATGGTCTGGGGAGCATGAGAAGACCTGCATTCCTGCTTCCAAGCACGCTCCCCTGCACGGAGTTCCTAAACACCCCTCGGCCTCAGCCTTTCCTCTGCTGGCCCCACGGGCTGCGATGTCCCTCTGGGAACCCACCGTCCTCCCAGTCCCCCTCCTGGTCCCACCTCTCCTCCCTAATCCCCAGTCACTCGTGCTCTCAGCTCTCTTTGCACTTGGTACCTCCCTCGGGATTTGCTCAGCCCCTGCAAATACTTGTCTAAGCAGTGGGGAAACACTGCCTGCGGTGGAATTACCTAAGCCATAAGGAGTAAAGGCCAAGGAAACAGGTAGGGAGTATGGGCCTGGCAGGTGGGAGAGAAGAGAGTCAGGCAGCTCGGGGACCCGGGGGCACAAAGGGGTTAGATCCTGTTGCCCCCTATCTGAGGAGGAAGCAGTGAGAAACTGGTTTGCTGGAGGGATAGTTGAAAGTAATCCCAGGAAAACCCTCGGTGGATCCCAAGTGCCTGGCCAAGTCTGCTGGTGCAGACGTTACGAGGGGTGGGGACCCTCTGCGATGACTCTATGGCCCAATTCCCAGAACCCAGATGCAGTAGGAGAAGCCATTTCCCTTTGGGAACCTTTTAGAAGACCTTCTGCGGACCTTCAGTCATGGTTTTTACTTACTTACATGTGCACAAGAATCACCCGGGGAACTTGTTAAAGATGCAAGCCCCAGGGCCCCACCTTCAGAGATGCCAAGCTCCCCACCCTGCCTGATTGTGATTCAGCTAGCCCAAGGACCCCCTTGTGAGAAATACTGATCTAAAGAGAAGGAAACTGCCTGACCTAATATTGTTGAATAGCTCTGCAATCACTAATTTAAAACACACTGAAATACGCAATGGCAATAATCAGACGACACCAGGCGAGTCAGGTATGGTGCTAAGAATGCAGATCGGGAAGCTTGAAGTCCCCAGTCAGTCCCACAGGGACGCACTCACACCCCAATGCTGTGCTGCCAACGGAGGACTCTAACCCACAGAATCCACATCTGGGGGAGAGAGGAACCACAGGAATTCCTACAGATTTTACAACAAGCAAATCCACCTCCCCTGTTTTTGAAAACACATTTTCAGAGCCATCCCTGGTGGAAGAATTATCTGGTTTTTGACATGAGTTTTGTCTCTGTTCTAAATCCTTTCTGGAAGGAGGGAAGAGGCAGGGGTTTATATAATAAATAAACTAAAATATCTGGTAATAACACAAATAGATGGTGTGAGTACAACACCCTTACTCTACAGGGGTCCCGAGTGCAGCTTTATCTGACAACCTCCCATGGGATTTTTGGCAAGTCACATCACCTTTGGCATTTCTCTGCAGCCCATAAGAAGGAGAAACGTTACAAAACAACCTCTCTTAGGGACAAGGAATAGATTAATACTTGACTCCAAAGTTCTGTTACAAAATATAACACTGATTCATGCAACATGTAATAATGCTCTCAGAAGAACGCTCTTGTGTTAAACAGGACTTGGCCATCTCGCTTTTAATAACTGACTTCTTCACAGACATGAATCAAAGTGAAGAGAAGAGACTACAGTATTTTAAATAAGCGTTTGACCTTGTCAAGGAAATATGCAAATACTGTCCTAGTATTTTGCCACACTTAGGGGGGCTGACTCAGGGGCAGGTCACTTCAGTTCAAGTCACTCAGTTCACTCTTAGACACGTGGCCTCTCACCGCACTTCAGGAACCACCCACAGGGCACTCCATGGGACGGGATCCCCAGGCGGGGGTCCAACCCGGGCCCTCGTCCTATGGACACAGCTCTGTGCAAAGTGCTGTCAGGAATTAAAGAAAAATATGCCCAGTCCTGCCTTCAACAGGCTTATAGTCCTACTGGAGAGGTGAGACTTGGACAGAGGAAATGAAAAGGGCAGATGCAAACCAGAAAGGCTCTAGCCTCCACTGGTCAGAGCACAGGGAGCTGATTTGCAAGTCACGGGCTCTGCCTCATGGTGGGCACACATCACCTGTTCTCCATTCCTTGGCCACCTGTTGCCCCATCTTGCACGTGCAGCTCCTGGTCACAGGGGACGGCACGAGAGAGTATGGGTGGATCAGGGTCAACTCACGGCTAACTAGGCTCCCAGCTCCCAGCCACCACTTGGCCAGTGCTGGGTCTTCGGGGCCCGGGACCCGCAGAATGATACAGCGAGCCAAGAGCTACAAAGCAGGTGAACACTCCCAACTGGAAGTGCAGCCCACCTACCCACCATCCTCCTTTATAAACGAAACAAGACGTTTCTTTACCTCCCAGAGCTCCTGGCCCCTGCAGCTCCATCCACACGTTTGGTGGCAGGCGGACTGAACGGGTGTGGCAGGATGGCCTCTAAGGCCAGCCTGGACCCCAGAACACCGTTCCTGGAATATGATGACGGACAGCGTTCCCAGCCATCACTGTCAAATATTTGTTCCAGCATTTGAGCCTCATAAACAATGATATGCTTTGCCCTAACAATTCCACTTGTAAGAATTTATTAGAGGCAGGGCTTCTCAAGGTGTTCCCACAGAACCGGGAATTAATAAATGTTACTGGAAATAAGCATCATGTGACCAAATTTAGAAACTGCTAGGCTAAATAGTTTTTTCCTGCAGGAATTCCCAGGGCCTTGAAGAGGCTAATCTATGTTGCAAACCTTTAGTGAAATACATGGTCTGCAGCAGTCTTCCAAACTTATTTGTCCACTTAAGGTCTTCCCAACTAGGGTCCCTGGGAACAGAGTTTGGGAAACATTGCCCTGTGGCACTAAGCACAGGGGGATGAATGTTCACTGCAGCCTTAATAATAGTAACAATGACAATAATAGTACTAATAACCACAACAAATGAGAAGTAACGACAACTCTAAAGTGATACTCAGCCTATCCCCCTGGGAACACGAACACCAACCAAGCACAACACGGACACCTCACGGAGCACGAGGGCCCATAAAGTTAAGCATTCTACCCGAAAGGTAGCACTGTGGGCCCCACCTGGTACAATGACTTGAGCAGTAAATGATGGGGAAACCCCACAAAACTCAAACTCATACCATCGTTAAGTCCACGTCTCCGCCCGGAGGAAGAGTGATCACCAGGTAGGGCACAATCTGATATTAAGTAAATCACATGACCCTCTCTCAGCCAAAGGCAAAGGTGAGGACGACAACAAAATAAAAGCTCTGACCACGATCTGTTTATAATTCGTGGCAAGTATATGTCTTGAATTCAACAGGGCCTATTCAAGCTGTGCCTAGAAACCCTTCCTTTATCCTTCAAGTTAATCCTTAAACTTAAGTTCCTTAAAGTTGTATTTTAATTCCTGGCATTTTAAACTGATATATATATTTTTGTAATTACAGTATAATTTTTGCCCTTATTAAAGTGCATAAATGTCTGGACCACGTTTTCAAAAAAAAAAAAAATCCAAACTCTCCTTCCCACCCCACCCCCACCCCCGTCTGTGCTCCAAGAGGCTTCACTGAAGATTGAGTGGTGCCCAGAACTGGAGCTAACCCTCCTGGGCTAACTCTTGCTCTCTGGCCACCGGGATCTCTTATCGGGCTGCCCATCTCCTACAGTCTGCACTGGCTCCCACTGACCTCAGCAGGAACTCGGCTGGGAGGAGATAGCTCCTGAGGGGGAGATGGACAAAGATTAATTACTCCTTCATAGTTTACAGAGCTACTGACAGCACAGGCTCTGCCTGCTCAGTGCAAAAGCAGAGCCACAAAATCAGAAAGGAGGAAGACTGGGTTTGTGTGAGTGGTTAGGAACAAATAATGCCGGATAAAAATTTGAATTGTCCCCACATTCAGATTGGTGGTGTTCACGACGGGTCATCTGACACTGAGCACTGAATGTGGACTCAAGACTTGTGAAAATAAGGAAAAGCTGGTCCCTGACCTCAAGAAACTCACAACAAGACACAGACGTGCCAGTGGTGTGAGGAGGTGTGAAGTGGTGTGGGAGATGTGAGGCGGTGTGGGGAGGTGTGAGGAACTGTGAGGTGCTATGGAGAGGTGTGAGGTGGTATGGGAGGTATGTGAAGGTGTGGTGTGTGGAGGTGTGAGAAGGTATAAAAAGGTGTGAGGACGTGTGGAAAGGTGTGAGGAGGTTTGAGCTGGTGTGGGGAGGTGAGGTGGTGT